TCTCTCTCTCTCTCTCTCTCTCTCTCTCTCTCTCTCTCTCTCTCTCTCTCTCTCTCTCTCTTCCTCTCTCCCTCTCTCTCCTTCTCCCTCGCCCCCTTTTCCTCCTTCCTCCTCTAGACCCCTCTTTCCCCCCCTTTTAATCACCTTGCCTTCTCTCTCTCTCTCCCGTCCCCTCACTTGGCATATGACTAACCCTTCTCCCCTCACTTGAAAAACATTGTCAGGGCACAGACGGTAAACGAAATCAGACTTCACTTGGTGGAGAAAGAGGGCAAGGGGAGGATAGCCGGTCCCTTGTGCCACMAAGGAGGCAAAAGAGAAAGGACGGTTGAAAAAGTGGGAGAAAGGCGAAATCCGGAAGATAACTTAAGTTGAAAGTGAGGTCAGCTTGACTCGACCATTTCCCCGACTTCATGACTATGAGAAGAGAATGGGCTGATTGAGCATCAAGAGGGAACAAAGAGCAACTAAAGGATTTGAAAAGATAGGCATGTGGGAAGGGTTTTGTGTTGACCCCCAACGGGGGTCTCCCAACGGGGGATTGTATGGATCTTCTTGCTTGTGTGGGATTGTGCAGGTGAGTGATGGCTAAAAATGCCTTGAGCGGGATAGAGGCGAGAGGAACAGGGCACCAAGAGTGAAAGGGAAGAGGGACAAAGGGGCTATGGGACCCTTGACATAGAGCCAACCCACGAAAATGACTTTTGCGCTTGAGGACTTGGAGTGTAAATGAGAGTGCAATCGTACCAAGGAAATTGTGATGTTATGTGTGCATGCATATGAGGACCCCGAAAAGACTAAGGGGCCTACTTCAATAAGGAAAACAGCAAATTGTGAGACCCGATGGACGAGTAGAGGCGAGGGGGAGGACGGCTCCGCCACACCCCGATGACGCCGTATAGCCACATTGCTTAGGGAAATGGTGCGTGGCCTAAGGATCACGCTTAGCCTACGCACAAGAGAAGAGAAACACTCAAAGAATCCTTGGACTGCCTGCGTATTGGAAGGAACAATTGCATGAGAACACAACAAAGAATCAAAAAAATCAGCGTTGCGGAACAACCAGCGAGACTACCACCCGGCGCGAGGGCTGAGCTACATCCCCCAATGTCAAAGCTCTCTCGCGCGATGAACGGCCCGCGCCCTGAGCATGCGTGTGGGCGGGCCGAGCCGGATGGGACCCGCAGTGGGGTCGACTAAGGCTCGAAAGTCTACCGAGGTTTGGCCCTACAACGCGCAATGTCCATCGCCACGGACTCCAGCGTGTACTGGAAAGCCAGATTGTAACCTCTAGGGCAGTTCCCGGACTTGAAGACCTAGCCATGCAAGACGAGCAGAGCAATATTCTCCATTGCCACCGCACGGGAGATCGCTTGCTGCAGCTGTGCGAAATTGGCAATCCTGGTTAGCTTCATACATGATTTTGGCATGCCGACGCTCCGAGGGACGGCAGGCGCTTGAAGACCATTGGCGATGGCGACAAAATACTCTTGCGTTTCGTGGACGATGTTATACAGTCTTCGCCCCTCCCCCGTCGTCCAGAAAGCTTTGTCATCAACCCACAGTCGGGCACGGTCGATCAGATCTTCCGCCATGCCTCCCCTTCGTACCCGGCTTAAGAGGGGGCCGTCATCCTCCTGATCACCTTTGTTCTCGCCATGTGCCACCTCCCGCTCGACTACTGGAAGCTCCTCTCTGGCCCTCGATACGGGTGCCACATCGCCTGAAGTTCCCACACCCGCAGCAGCGACCGCCCCGTCCCCAGCTGCGCACGCGTCTGCCAGGACCCCCCCCCCCCGCATTCAATGGAGCCTCCCTCATCATCCGTGTTGCGCGGACGCGGCTGAGACGGCTTGGCAGGCAGTCCACCCTGAGGTGGCCTTTCGTCAGTCGCACCACGTGCTCTGACTGTCGTCGCTGGTGGCTTGTGTGACATTGTGCTGTCAACGTCGTTCTAACGACTCGTCATCATCACCGCCGACATCGACGACAGCCTTCTTCTCCGAGCATGTTTCACGGGCACGCACGTGCTGCGCCTCTGGTGGAGGCGTCAGCAATCTCCTCGCAGCGCTGTGATCCGAAGAACGTTGGCGACCACTCTCCCGAACTGCGGACACGGTTTCCTCTGGCGCTTCTACCTCCGTCGCGAAGACGTCGTCGTCGTCGCCTTCATCTGCTGTCGCCCAAGCTTGTGGTCGACGAGGAGGCACGCTTCCTGAAGCATCGTCTGAACGAAGCCTCTTCGTCTTCGGGACATGCCGCCGACCTGTTTCCCGCCCTTGACTGTTGGCAAGGACGATATTCCGCTTCTTACCAAGGGCGCCTGCTCGCGTAGACATGCTTCGTGCTTCCCTCTCCAAGCGAGTTTGGCGATCGGATCGGATGAGCGGGAATAGAAGGTCGACCGCCGATGGGAGTTCCGCCAATCTGGCGAGAACAGCGTCTCATGTACGAATCTCGCGTGGCGACGACTACGTTTGCGACGACGAAGAAGAAATGTCCTCGGCGCACAAATGAGCACGACGTCCACGTGTACGAGAGGAGGATAACAACCCCGGCGAGACTGCTCCGCGGCGAGAAGAAGAGGAGCAACGGCGCCGAACCTCCACGCAGCGAGACAGATCCGCAGCGATAAGGAGAGAGTGCTCCGCCGTAGATTGGCCCAAAGTCGTCACTCGCCGAACATCCACGTGTCCACAGGGCTCCGCGACGCCAACACGAGGAGAATGACGGCGTCGAATCTCCACGTGACGAGAAGGCGAGAAGAGCTACAACGGTGATCCTCGACGACACTAAAAAAGTCCCCGGCGAGCAGGCGAGAGATGTCTGTGGTGACCAGGCGATAGAGGTCTGCGGCGAGGAGGCCAAAAGCTGGAGGGCGTCCCGCGTGGTTGTGCTCGCTGTGCAGCAGGTGTGACAAGCTTCTTTGCTGGAGACGCCACAAGCGAACGACCTTTATGAGGGACGGGACGCAGCCGCCTCAATGAGACGGAGCAGATGGACGGGCCTCAACGTCGCTTCTTGGGCTGGCGGCATCATCGACAGTGATACGTGCGACCTCAGCATTCCAGACCACGTATGCACACTCACCTTTCATCTGTTGTCACTGCCACCCTCCCCAAGCTGCCAACAAACCCTTCGACGCCCCTACCGACGCGTGTCAATGCACTCGCCAGGGAACCAAAAAAAAAAAAAAAAAAAACTTCCCCGCCCCCCCCCCCCCCCCCCCCCCCCCCCCCCCCCCCCCGCCCCTTTTCCCGACCAGCGAGACCACCCCCTCCTCCACAATCCCCAACCCACAGAACCCCTTTAACACGTGGCTCTGTCTCTTTCGAGATCGCCAAACATAGACGAAGCACTCTCCTCGAATATTAAGAAGATCAAGAACAAAAAACAAAAGAAAGGAACTGTTAATCATATGGTGACGACACACAAAATCTAAACAACCATCAACTTTACGTCTCTCAAATCGTCGCGCACAAACGATCGTGCGAGCATCCCCCCCCCCCCCCCCCACCATACACACACACACACACACACACACACACACACACACACACACACACACACACACACACACACACACACACAAGTCGACATCGTCGCAGTTGCAGTAGATGGAGAGACAAAACACTAAATTGACACTAAACAGCAGTGTCGTCATGATCTCTCGCGGATGGCTTTCCCTATCTCCATAAGGGCGTTGCACATCATTCTGTTTGCTTCATCCGCCGCAGCATAATGTTTCCTCTGCACTTCCACTTAGCTCTCAAGGATTTCGCATTGCCGTAACATCATAGAGCATTGCCGCTTGCTCGCGAAGTCCACCGTGCTCGCCATGAGCGCACCATGCTTGTCCATAACCTCGGCGACGGCCTCAAAGGTTTGTTTCCGCATGTCCTTCCTTTTCCCGGAACCGCCGGCGCTCCCCGCGCTGAATGTCCAATCTTTCGTCGACTCCTGCTCCTCGTCGACGGGCTCCCCTCCACCCTCACTGCCCATGGATTCCCCTACAGCCCCCGCGCCTGCTGGCATCTGAACCCCTCCTGGCGCCCTCGTGTCCTCCAATTCTTCGGGTGGATCGTGTGATCCCCCTTCGTCATGGGCTCCATTTCGTCGTACATGCTCCGGTCCATAACGAAGTTGAAGCCCTCCGATCTCCTGGCTGATGAAGCAAGCTTGAAGTAGTCCTTACCACCGGAGAGGTGCTGAAACTTGTGAACCTTCTTGAAGTGTTGCATCAAGTTGTCTCGTTTCTTCCCGCAGTCGACGGTCTTCCTCGTGACGCCCATCTTCTGCAACCTGGACCGGACGTCCTCCCACGTCCATTCCCTGATCTTCATGCGGCGGAAATTGTGCCCCATGCCTGCGAAATACAAATCTTGATCCCTTTTCGCCCTCACGAGTGTGATCGTGTCTCTGACGGACCAGAAATTTCGAGCGCCCTCGCCATCGCTCCCGCCTGTGTCGTCGTCCATTTTCTTCAAGTTGTTCCTCCAATTTCTCGGAGTGGAACCCTTCTTCGCACTCGCACCGCCGTTCCTCACCTTCCTCCCAAGTGGCCTAATCTCAGGCAAATCGTCGAAGTTGCAATCGTCGTCACCGTCAACGTCGTCGAAGTCGAGGGGCTCCTGAACAGCCGCATCGTCGCCTTCGTCGATGTGGAGCCCTTGCACCCCTCTCGTTATTGTGTCTGTTTCAGCTTGACGCAAGGTCTGCCTGCACTCTGCCCACAACTGCCTGCCGTCTCGTTCTACGTGCGCAACTGTCTCGGACGCGTCCTCCTGTTGCTGTCGTCCACGCGGTCCCACGCTGGTGATAAGCGCATCCATTCCGGACGTTGATTCTCGCCGACTCCTCCTCTGCCATGCCCCGATGACACATTTCGATTCCGGCCGCCCTCGTGAAGTGATTGAGGTAGGCCGCCTTCTCACACCCCGCACAGACCAACCATCGTCTGCTCCGCTCAATCCCCATCTGGGTGGGGATTGATGATGCGAGTATGTGTCGCCGCTGCTCCGCTGCTGCTTGACAACTGGAAGCTAAGATCGACCGTTGCATTGCCATTGTCGTCGCACAGCCCCTCCTTCAGCAGTGAAGTGTAAGACCACGGGGTCTCCACTTGCCTGCCACCGTCGGACTGCGTTGCCGCCCAATCCTGCGTGGAACCACTTCCCAACGGCACAGTCAACGACCTGACGTCTTCCCCCTCGTCATCTGACGGCGGCAGAGGAATCTCATGCGAAGGCAGGTGAGCATACAACGTCGGGTCGTACGCTTGCTTCGCCACAAACCCCGCATTGCGTTGCCGATTGCTCACTCTTGTTGTCGTGCCTGCCAGTCTACCGTTGGTCAGTCGTCGATCCATCCTGTCACCGTTCTTGGAAGATCTCCTTTTGCGAGCCGCGACAGGGAGCAGGCCGACGAAACACACGTGGAAGAAGACAACGATGAGAAGCAGCACGACGGCGAGGAGTAGCAGAGGCAGCCTGTGCAGCAGGTCGGCCATCTAAGGGTCGTGGAAAGGGCAGCAGCTTCACGTCAGTGGTCGACCGTCCAGCGAAGAACTCCGTCGACAGAAGAAAAAGCGAGGGAAGATATGTGCTCCGACGTGCAAGGCGTGACGACAACCGACGAAAACGACGATCTTCCAAAATAAAACTCTCGTCGTCGAACGCTGCGCCGACGCAGATAAGCATTCGAATTTCCGACCGTTGTCGACGATCGCCCAACGCAGCAGACCGCATGACACCAGCCGGCGACGCCCGATTCGACGGACAGAGGCCTCACGCGGACAGTGATCGTTTGGAGCCGTTGCGGTGCCACCCAGTAGGTGGAGGGCAGGGATGTCTGTGCTCCCGTTCAGTGGACCACGTCTGGACCACCCTCAAACCGAAACTATGCGTCGACGCATGCCTTCGCCGCTCCAAATTTCGCGCTTCCTTGTGCTCTGAGGGACCTCGGGAGGTCCCTTGGGGATTAGGAAAAATTGGCTGTAGCCACAAGGACGCCACAAGGAAATTTCCTTGTGCTGCTTTTCACTTTTTTTTTTCACGAATCGTCCCCGAGGACAGGTGGAACGAGCACTTCCTTGTGGATTTCGGGTCCACAAGGAGTGTCTAACGACGCCCTTACTAGCAGACATACAGAGTTGCAAACAGTGCAAAGCAGGCACAAGACTAAAGAAACAGAGATTTTTTTTTTGAAAAAAGTATGATTAACTTTGAATTTTGGATTTAGTAATTTAAGTTCATAACTTCATAAATAACTTACAAGTTTGAACTTTGCAGTTCAATTCAGAATGTCAGAGTCTTCAGACTGGCAGCACTGTCAGTGCTCTCTCTCTCTCTCTCTCTCTCTCTCTCTCTCTCTCTCTCTCTCCCCAACGGGCAGCAGCGGCGGGCGCCACGTCAAAACGGCCGCTTTGAAATTGCTCGGGCCTGTGCAAAACCCCCCACCCCAAAAACCTGCAGTGTCTTGTGTCCGGACCTCTAGGCCCTATCCGGTGGGGTGAAACGACACTGAAAAATCACCCCGTTATTTTTCGAGGGGCGGCCAGGACCCAATAAACGTCCTGGGCCGCCCCCCGTTTTTTTTATTTTTGCCCCAAGGGCCTCCATCCAGACATAAGGACCGGACACAGGACACCGGACTGTATGGAACCCGGTTCGGACGTCCGGACGATTACCATGAAAAATACAAATACCCAGCCGCACCTTCCAGTAGGGCTACCTTGTTTCAACTTCACTCCAGTCACTAGCCCTGCCTTAGGCATCCCCCTCTTTATACGTAATTGAAGGTTAGGGTAACGACTTCAAGCCTGGTCAGCTCCCATACTGTGTGAGAGGCGGTGTGTACAAGGCCTGGGAACGGATTCACCACCGTATGGCTGACCGGCGATTACTAGCTATTCCGCCTTGATGCGGGCGAGTTGCAGCCTGCAATCCGAACTGAGACCTTTGCGTTCAAGTACACAAATGATTGGAGAATCATGTATAAATGATAGGATTACACGCTGCACCGAATTGCAAACAAACAAACCCTGCAAGCAGTCTTATAGAAAGTTTTATAAACAAAATAGCACGAGATTTTGTTTTTTTCCCATGAATCATGCATTGCAAATGTTGATTAAATATAATAATTATAATAATAATAATAATAATAATAAATAAGAATAATAATAATAATAAATTGTGTATCAAATAATATCAATTGTTGTACCTGTTATTATCATAACAGCAGGATCCATAGCAGATGCTGTCAAGATCAAAAGGTTGGTAACTCAATTCTTATCTGAAGAGATTAATCAGCAGGTGAAAAGCACAAAAAGTCATAATGGGATATGGGGCTCGTTCGACACTCCTCAGGCGCGTAAAGTCCCTGAGGAATTGTTCGTTCCACCTATCCTCGGGGATGCAGTCGGCAAAAAAAAAGTGAAAACACTCCGAAGGAAATTCCTTGGGCTCCAAGGATTCCCCAACCATTTCTTCCTTTTGCCCAAGGGACCTCACGAGGTCCCTTGGGCAAAAGGAATCCGCATTTCACGGAGAGGAGCAGGCACATGAGTAGAGAGACATTATAACCGAGAATCTGAATCGTGGCGGCACCCTATTGGCTGAAGGCCTCAAACACATTTGATTTTTTTTTCCTTTTCTTTTTTCCTGTCTGACATCGTTCGAAGGAAATGTCCTCGGGCGATGTCCCCGAGGACAGGTGGAACGATGGTGGGAATTTCCTTGAAAACCCCCAAGGAAACTTCCTTCGGCCCCGAGGACGCCCCAAGGAGTGTCGAACGAGCCCCTATCTCTCCTAAGTACCCAAATTCATGATCTGGACTTAGGCAGCTCGCCAGAGTTCAGATGCAAGAGGCGAATAACGGGAGTTGAACCAACCTGTGTTTTCAAATTCACAATCTGACACTTTGACCTATGAAGTTATATTCGCCCTGAGGCAAAAGTTGGTCAGTTTATTTTTCTGCATAACATTTTTTTTTTTTTTTTTTTTTT